TATAAATATTGTATGTACACATGTATATATAGATATATAGATATGTATATTATATATATACTATTTGTGTGTATTTGAGTGTTTGCGTGTATGTTAGTTCGTGTGTTTGTGTTGTTGACATCGCCGTCTTGCATTGATTGTCGTTATAATTTTAAACAAAAATAATTCTTGTTGTGCTTGTGCGCCATGTGCGTTATGTACTACATATGTAGATTGTAGCATCTTGGTCAGAGATGACGGGCTTGTCCTAGGACATAATGGTACGCTTAACCATATGTTTATTGTTCTTCTTTAATGGATACATTTTAGACATATCGCGTAGTTTGCTTTGGTTCGATCCTGTATGTTTTTGTTGAGGGAGCTGGGAAACTTATTTACGTACTTTTTTTTAAACGTGAAACGTAGATTTAAAACAAAAATAGAGATTCAAACTTTATACGTTTATGCATTTTTAAGTTTCAACGTATTTATAAATACCGAGAGGAGTGAGGACTGGAGGTGGTTGATCTACCGTAAATATTTTTAACTAAATGAGGTTTGCCCTCTCGTTGCATATCGCCTTTTTTAGGCAAGTCATTTTTTTTAAACAAAGTGGAGCATCTTGTTTCATTTAAGAAGCCCACGGAACATCTGTATTTTATTTTTTATTATCTGTATGTATTTATTCTTTTTTAATTTTATTATTATATATCATTTATTTTTAAAAACAAATATTTATACCAAACATGTTATTACATTTATTTCAAATTTCAATATTTATATATATATTTTTTCAAAATAAGTTAATTTTGGTTTTGGACTTTTGTCATTTGACCATAGCTATATTATATAACAATTGACTCATATGTAGACAGAACGGTTTTTCTATATTTTTATTTTATGTACAATTTTTATATATATAATTTTTAGTGTCATGCATTATTGTCACATTTAATTGTTGTGTTTTGTAAATAAATAGAGATATGTATGTACATATTTTATAATACTATAAATAAATACATGTTTCAATTAGAAGGCTATGTACAGACCTACAGTCCTAAATACACTCTACGGGCAGTAGTGTGTACTGGATAGGCTAACTAAATAGCCGCCAAATATAAAACTGTAATCTGCATTTTTAGCCTTCTTCTAGATTAAACTTTTGTGTACAGTGCATGTATTTGATATTCAAACGTTATAACGCATTAAAAATGTGTGACAGCAAGGGGGTATCGGCTAACCGACTATAGAATTTATCTGGGCTTATATCGCACCTCAGAACCCGAATATTGAACCCTCGTGACGTCCGAGTCTTTTGTGCATACTTTAACTTTGACTTTACATAGCCCTCTAAATTATAACACAAGAGGGTGTGGGCTATGGACTTTATGTTTTGCGGGTTTTTTTTAAAAGTCCAACAATAAAGCGTATGTAAATACCAAGCCCAAGGTATTGAGCCTTTGAGGTTCAGGTTTTTTTATATAAAAAAAGAGGATTACTTCAGTGATTACTTCAGTGATTACTGATTGCATAGTCGTTTCTATTTAGTTTTTAGAAGAGCGAGGCTATAAATAGAGTATAGAGCTATAGCCTATAGAGTCATAGACCCTTACTCATATTTTTATATTCCGTAGCTGAGTAGAAAAAGTGAATACCATGGAATATTCAATATAAATTTATAAAAACAGGTTTGTATAATCGTGTTTGTCAACCTGGATTTTACATCGTATGAATACTTGCATACACAGTCGTAGACTGGCTACTTAAGAGCCTGTTAGCTAGTATAGGTCAGACCATGAGGGTTTCTACTACATCTTTATATGTTGCGCTTGTGGCGTTACTATACACTGGACGATCAGATGCTGTGAGTTGTGATGTGGCACAGCAAGATGAAAGCTACGCCTGTGATGATGTATATATTTTCGATCTGGCAAAAAGCGCAAATGAAGTAGACAGCACAGCTGTATATAACAATGTGTGTTGTAAGCGGGATGGCTGCAAGCTTGCAATCGGGGGGGTAATCCTTGAGGTTTTCCGCGAGTGCGCAGCGGGCATAGGCCCACGCAGCCCGGACAAGTTTTACGTGGACGTGTATGTGAAGAATCTGGGTGGTCAAATTCTCAGTAATGCGAATCTACTACTTATGAATACACTTACGGGTGAGAGTATAGAGTTTGTGTATGGGGGTACAACAGTATTTGCCCTAGATCAGGGCGGAAACTACGAAATAAGTGTACTTGGTATTGAAAACTACATAATCCAGAGCGAGGAGGGTACTAACAAGGACACCACGGCTGTCCTGACCGACGATACGGTTGCAGACGGGGTATATAAACTAGTCAATGTCAGCGTTGATTCCGTAGTGAACTGGGTATACGCCGCTCCACAACTAAACCGTGAAGTGGTTATAAGAGCAGAGGATGACTACGGCGACGTTGTATCTGATGCACAAGTTAAGGTCACCTTTCTGGACAACGGCACTACAGCCACGTACACAACGGCTAGCCCAGAATGGGACGGAACATCCGGAACGTTTATCTTTAGCTTACCAGCCAATTCAGAGTATACATTTGAGATGACCAACATTCCCACTGGTTTTGTAGCGACAGGTGAGTTCGGCGGAGACAATAATCCTGACGGCATTACCACTCTGACTGTTAGTGAAGATAGTACCGTGAGGTTCGTATACTCACTCGATACAACCTGTCAGGAAGCCTTCTTCGATGCCGGCAGTGCCTGTCCGAGTGGCTCTGTGAACAAGGGATGGAAGGCCTGCTATGGTATCGAGTGCACTGCGAGTGTGTGCTGTGGCCCAAGGACCTGTCTCACAGAGATCGATCCCACAAAAGGAACTATCTGCGGGGATCTGCGTCCAAAGGCCAACTACAGTACCATCCCCTGTGGTACTGGCACAGGCGTGTCTTGCACTAAAGCGCTGTGTTGTACTACAGAAGCGCTTCCTCCCAAGGTGCCGCATGTGCCTGACCAATGCTCCAGTTCTTATCTTAACATCAACTTCGAGGACTTCACCGGTGTCGACGATGACGATCTGGACAGCAGCTACAGACCGGAGGGTGTAAGCTTTGCTCTAACCACCACCGGATCGTTCACACCTTATAGTCTGCGAAGTGCGCCGAGAATAGAAGCGGAAGGCGGCAAATTAACCAAGGCTGGGTTCTGGACGTCCTGCGCTGGTGGTGGGACGGTGTATGATGTCGATACCAAGAACACGCTTGGTAAATGGTTCTTGAAACTGGTGGGTTTGGACTCAGATGACATCCCATACATGCCAGCGTTGCTCATTACTTACAATACACACGGGTCTACCCAGGCCGCCGGAATGTTGTACGATATCGATGGTTCGAACTCGAAGAAGGAACAGTACATGATCAGTATATACGACAAGGATAGGAATTTCTTGGGCTCAGATTTCTCTATCAGAGGGGATACATCCGTATGTAGCAAAAATGCATACGAAGGTACCTACTGGCAGTTTATTGTCAACTCGCCCAACAACGTTCCTATCAAATATTTGCGCATTGACTACATCGGAAGCGGTTTGCCGACCAGCATCGGAATGGTAAGTATTGTAACCCATGTAGAAAACTATGTATGTTCTCCTGCTTGTTTGCATTATATACATGTGTGTGTGTGTATATGTATATATCTATATATATGCTGTATGTCTGTATGTCTATGCATTTCGTCTGTAAATCACGCACCTTGTTTTATCAACATGGGTTGACCGTCAAATTTGACTTTCTTTTCTGTACGCTTTGAGTTTGAGTGTAATCTTGATATATTTTAACGTTTTGTCTGCATTCATCTACAGGGTTTTGATAACTTCAGGGCGTTTGGATGCACTAAGGACGGTCGTGTACTCAACGCTTTCACCACAGGCAATTAGTCTGCTTTAGTCACATTCATATCATGTCAGCATAAATTCTCATTCAATGGCAGACCTAACCAATGAATTCATTAGCATGTACTATCATTGCTTTGTAGACTCCCTCCGTTGTATTTATCTCCCGGTTAACTGTGCGTCACTCCTACGAATAACTCGTACCGTAGCGTAGTCCTCCCAGAGACGAATTACTGCCTGTTTATTCTCGTCGTTATCAGAATGTGCCGGCTGTTTACACGTGCATAGGCATCACCTCGAGATAACGATGTCATATGTACATGGATCTACAGACCCCAAACCTACGCACAGTACATAGAGCTGAGGCTGTAAGTCGGTCTGGTCTGTGCATGCTTGAGGATCTATAACATCGACCTATCCCATTTTGTGAATGTATGACAGATGATACTGAGGACATCAATGACTTTCTCACCACTATACATGCATAAGGATTCGGGATGTTTGAACAATAACATGCCTACAACTATTATATAGTAACTATATACACAGACAGATCCAGGATGTTCATATAATTCTATGCATACAACTTCTTGTATATTAACTATTTGCGCAGACAACGAGGATGTTCATGTGTAATATACGTATATGTAAATGTGTATGTATGTTTTTCATGTCTGTATATTTATATATATATAAATATATTCATATGTATGTATCTATATATAAATAAATATATATGGTGATATGTATATATATATTGATAGATATATATTTGTGTATATATATATGTATATAGTGATATAAATATATATTATGCTATTTATATTATGTATATATATTATATATATATATAAATGTATATGAATATGTGTATATATGTGTATATATATATACATATATGTATTTATATATATCTACATTTATATATATATTATTATATCTACATCACGTATCAGAGTGTGATTAGACCATCCACGAACATCTTAACACCATACACTACAACTCTCACATACATATGCAACCATGCACTATGTGAACTTTTATTTGTTCTGTGCCTGTATCACTATGCGCCGTCTTGTGTGTGTGAGCACTATTGTTTATTGAAGACATATCTCACACGATCACATGCCCAAATATAATTACTTACATGAACACTTGTCGTTCTATTTTCGTGATCGCGATGGTATGAACCATTTGGTTGCATTGGCAACCTTGATGCAAACTTGGTTTTTGCTGCACCAATTACCAATTTTATTCATCACTGGTTTCATCGCATTTCCCCCAACAAGATATAGGGCAATTACGTGGTACTCTACCTCAACTTGGTTTATACTATAAATCCATAGTTGATGTTCTGTATTACATTGACATATGAAGCAACATACAAGCCCCTTCGGACCGTTTCACTACACTCCCTGAGCCTGTGATAGCGTGGCTGTGTGTTTGAGCTCTGTCTGGTTGTGCGTCGATACCGCCCCATTGATTCTCTCCAGTGTTGTTGTTGGTACCTATGGTAAAGGTTGGTGCCTAATTAGTCGCCGATTTGGATCAGTAAATTAATGAACACCAGGGATATACTTGGTTATAGTTGTAAGTTCATGTGTCTACCTACACGATTGAAAAACTATTTATTTAAGAATATAATTTAAATTAAATTCATCTGGCTGTGTACTCGTATGGTAAGATTTCAATAGTTACAGTTGTATGCTATCTACATGAGTAGTAACTGATCTTATATAATATTTTATACAATTCATCTGCCCATGTACTCCATAGTAAGGTATTTCCTTAGAACACCTAGATATCTATCCGATTCATTACATTCACACAGCAGACACAGACATGTGACATAGTACATGTACATAAGCAAACAACTCATCACAGGCACACGCTACAACGTGAGCGTATATTAATAACACGAACGTTTGAGTAGAAACACCCACTTACCATGAACAGCTCCTCACAATGCTGGATAAGCAAGTCTGTGACGTTGTTAACAGCGTCGTGAGTCTCTACTTTGAGCGACGTCGTTCTCATTATATTGGGACCTTCGTAGATGATCGCATTTATGCATGTGACAAAATAAGCGAGAGTAAGTCTGTGATACACTAAACCCTAAACCCTTCGTAGATGATCGTATTTAGGCATGTGACAAAATAAGCGAAAGCGGATACACTAAACCCTAAACCCGCAGTATATGATCGTATATATGCATGTGACAAAATAAGCGAAAGTGGATACACTAAACCCTAAACCCTTCGTAGATGATCGTATTTAGGCATGAGACAAAATAAGCGAAAGCGGATACACTAAACCCTAAACCCTTCGTAGATGATCGTATTTATGCATGTGACAAAATAAGCGAGAGTATGTATGTGATACACTAAACCCTAAACCCTTCGTAGATGATCGTATTTAGGCATGTGACAAAATAAGCGAAAGTGAGTCTGTGATACAAAACCCTAAACCCTTCGTAGATGATCGTATTTATGCATGACAAAATAAGCGACCTAAAGTGAGTTTGTGATACATTGAACGCTTAAACCTGTGAAACACTATGCAGTCTTTATACGTTATGCATGTACTAAAAACAGTGAATGACATGCGAGCTAATGAGCGTACTTGTATACGTGATACGATAAGCGTACTCAGGTATCTTTTTTTATAAGCATACTCCGTATCTTTTTTTATAACCGTGGAATTTATGGTTCTATCAAGCTTGTTATTTATGTGATAAATTGTTCGTGCGCGTAAGGCAATACGCGCAAGGAGTGTATGTGTGTAGTGGTGTTTATAGAGACAGGTTTTTGTTCGGGTGTTTACACGAGTGTGTGTGTAGTGGTGTTTATAAAAACAGGTGTGTGTTCGGGTGTTTACACGAGTGTGTGTGTAGTGGTGTTTCTAAAGTTAGAGGCAATTAAGGTCTTATATTCAATGTGTGCTCGTGAGGTTTAAGTTGCTATAGATCTGAAGTGGTTGAGTCCTTCGCGGCAGCGGAAGGTGCAACTGTCTATGTATATTATCTCTAGGTAGGGCTTAGTGTTTAGGGTTAAGGGTTTTAAGGATTTACTTAAACGACAATGTACGCCTTACTTAGGCGGCCCTTCACACGTTGGGGCTTCGCTGAACGTTTTAGGGTTTCAGGGGTTTTAAGGTTCAGGGATGTGCAATATTATAAAGTGTGAGAACAGGGGAATACCAGTCCATAATTACCGTGTCTTTTTTAAGTACGAGTATCGTTTGTGTATGAGATATCAGACATGCAAAGCGCCGGTTTCAGGGTTTTAGGTTTTTAGTGTTTTAGGGTTTTGGCGTTCTTGAGGGAGGGTGAAAGGGGGTTCCCTTCACCCAATCAGGACCTTTGCGAGCGGGCGCCATGGTATGTCGGTGCATGTGATATGTTTTAGGGTTTAGGGTTTGTAGGTACATAAGAAACTATCTGTCTTAACGCAGGAGGACCTCAGGACTGTGAATCAGATGGGTCTAAATAAGGGGGTTGATACCGGCGATTGATGCTTCATGGCACATGTGAGTGTAAAGTGTATGCTACAGGCGTTCGTGCAGGTTGTATTGCAGTAGAAAACACACCTATTAATATCGCAATATAACAATAGGAAACATATCCATTACAATCACATTAAAATTCTAAAACATACTAATTACTATCACAATAAATACCATACCGATATACTCATTACTATCACATTAAAAAGCATGCCCCATACTATCACACGAAAAATATTGCCCACTTCTATTACAATAAAAAAAACCCTATTACCTCCACAATAAAAAAAGACCCCTAACTATCACAATGA